ACAAATTTGATTAAGTATATACTTTCGAGGCCTTTGATCATTTGACGTATTGGAAAATGGTCATTGGCCTTAATGGAGTTTCTTTCAAATATATTCCATAAAAGGCAGTCAAAGGAAAGGCAGTGGTAGAATTTATAGCAGATCATCCTTCCACTAAGATTGATTCAGAAGTATGTGACGAGGTGGATAATCTCTACCTTGACTATACACCTTGGACTCTCATGTTTGATGGATCAAGCACTCATGATGGAGGAGGAGTTGGAATAGTCATTATTTCACCAAATAGAAGAAAAACCACATTTTCTTTCTTCTTGGATTTCAAGTGTACAAATAACCAAGCTGAGTATGAGGCACTGATCATTGGGATGGAAATCATGCTAGAGCTAAAGGTGGATAAGGTCTAGATTATTGGAGATTCCAACTTGATACTTAGCCAACTTTATGAAAAGTATAGATGTCTCAATTGGCATTTAAGGACTTTCCACTATTTAGCCTTGGAATTACTTTGCCAATTTGATAATTTCCAACTTAAATATTGGCCAAGACATTTGAATATGGAGGCTGATGATCTAGCACAACTAGCCTCTCGAATGAAAGTTCCACTGGGTGTAGAAGAGACCTTGATCACGATCAGAAGAAGGACTCTCCCTTCTATAGAGTCACGGCATGAGATGACAAGTCATTTCCAAGCTGACGAACCAGAAAGAATCAAACCTGCTAAAAAGACATGGGAGATTTTCAATGTTGATATAGATGGATTAAACTTGGAAGATTGGAGAACACCAATTATCCATTTCTTGCAGGAGCCTAGTGCTAATGTGGACAAAAGAATTTAGTTTTTGGCACCTTATTATATTTTGACTGATGTAGATCTCTACAGAAAGAGTAAAGAAGATAGACTTTTGTTAAGATGTCTTGGCAGGAATGAGTCAATGAGAGTGACGGCATAATCACACCTTGGAATATGCGGAGCACATCAAGCTGGAATCAAAATGAGGTGGCTTTTGAGAAGGTACAGTTATTATTGAAAAGACATATTGAAATATTGCATAGAGTTTGCAAAGACTTGTATTGCATGTTAGGAACATGGCCCGGTCCAAAGAGTTCCAGCTATCAACATGCAGCCGGTAGTAAAAATATGGCCATTCAGAGGGTGGGCTTTGAACTTTATTGGAAATTTAACACCACCATCTGCAGATGGCCATACTCATATTGTGGTAGCAATAAATTACTTTACAAAATAGGTGGAGGCTATTCCATAAAGACCTGTGAGCAGCTAACAGTGATTGATTTTATCAAGAAGCACATTATTCATAGGTTTGGAATTCCAGAGACTATCACCACTAACAAAGGACTTTCCTTTGTTGGAAACAAAGTTCTTGATTATTTTGCTGAGTGTGGCGTCCAAGTGATCAGTTCCACTCCATATTTTGCCTAATCAAATGGACAGGCTGAAGCTTCCAACCAGGTAATTCTCAACATTCTTGAAAAGATGATTAAGAATCATCCAAACGAATGGCATCACCTACTTTCTAAGGCTCTTTGGGCTTGCATAAATTCAAAAAGATCAAGTACTGGCGTCACACCATATATTCTTACATACGAACATGATGCCGTTCTTCCAATGGAAATGACCATAAGGTCTGCAAGGGTCCAAAACAAGCTCACTCCAGTAGATTACGACCATGCCATGTTGGTAGAATTGAAAAACCTTGATGAAGTTCGTTTTAATGCCTTAAACCATATTATTGCTCTCAATAGAAGAAAGTCATGCGGGCATACAACAAAAAAGGTTAAGGCAAAGACATTTGTTGAAGGAAACCTGGTATAGCAAGTCAGATTTTCACCAGGAGTCAAAGACAAGGAATATGGAAAGTGGACCCCTAATTGGAAGGGTCCTTATTTGGTTGAACGAGTCCTTGGAAAAAGGAGCTTATAGATTAATGGACATAGATGGAGGATCCCACAAGCATCCGGTGAATAGGGTATACTTGAAAGAGTATCACCCTTCCATCTATGAAAACTGGAAATCCATAATCATTTAACCAGCCACATAACATGGCTGGTATCTTCCTTTCCAAGTAGACTGGAAAGTTGAAAAGGAAGGGTAATGGCCATACTTCGGCCATTCCAAGAAGGAAAAACTAAGTACTTGGAAAAGTACATTGGCTAAAGTTATGAAGCAGACCTAGCTGAATTTCCAAGATCAGCTGATTTCCTAAGTATGGAGCATTTCATTGAGAAGAGGCTACATTACATGGTCCATGTTCTATTCATACTAGAAATTACTCATGTTGCCTGTATATACATGCATTTCCATGTTAGCAATTCCAAGTTAAGTCCAGCCATATTGAAAATACTTCAGCAACTTTTTCTTATCCCTTTGCTTTATACAAAACATCTTTTTTCTTTTTCTTTTTTTTTTTTTTTTTCCCCAGTACTTCCAGTTCTTCTTCTTCAATTTCTTTTTCTTCTTCTTCATGATGGCGGAATTCAAATCCCATGCCCTATTATCAAGTTGTTCCACAAGGCATGGAATTTGGGGGGCATATGTTTACTCAATTATTTTTGACCCAATGGAAAGGCGACATGTGGTAAGTTCCAATGGAACTGACCACGCTGGATCGCAACTCTTATGAATTATTATTAGAAGCTATGTAATATTACGTAGTAATTAGACAAGTGGGTCAGTACAATCTTACTATGTGGGGTTTTCTATTTTTAAAGGAAAGAGGCGAGTCCTATTAGAACTTGCCATCTTTAAAGTAAGGGTTCACATATTCTTATTTGGAAAAGGGATTATTTCATGGAAAGACTACCATACATGCAACCTCATACAATTATTCAAGACAAATTCAACCAATTAGCTCTCAACACATGGCGAGTTCTATGGAACTTACCATAGTATATCAATGCTTTTAGAGAATTGTTGTTATGAAAGGTTTATGGGTAAAAATCGTGTATCCCTAAGTAATTGGAGGTTTCCTATTATGGCAAGACCTAAGTTAACTAAGCAAAGAAGAGTCCAAAAGTCCTGCACTTATGACTGGAATTACATGAATTTCTTTACATTCATGTAATGCACTTTCAATATGTTTAATTCAAGTCCTGCACTTATTATTCCTACTTTCCAGCACTTTACTTTAAAGTTCTGCACTTTCAATACTGCTTTCCTTTCCACTAGTCATAGAATAGTCCAAAAGTCATTTTTCAAGGCAAAAAGAATCTCTGAAGGTGGTAATTCAAGTCATTCGTACAATCGCCTGATCCCTACAATCTCCTACTGGATAGTTGTTCGGATATCCACTTTGGAACGACAGCAGTTCCTGGCACGCCCGACATTCACCTTCCTTTCCAAGTGGTTTTTAGGAGTCGAACACATATAATTAATAATTAATAATATTGTAAAAAATAATTATTTAAATATGCAATTCAATATTTAATTAAACATGCAATTTGGTATTTAATTAAACATGTAGAATAATGCAACAAAATTAATATTATTAAAATAAATAACTTGGACCGAGGCTAGTATTTGATAGTATGTCCTTAAAACAATTTACGCGCCGCATGGTGTTGACAGACTCCATGACACTTGTCTTTCAGGATACAATGGTCTATATCCACCAGTAGCAGTACTTCAAACTCATTGATATGGTGAACCTCCTCTGTGTAATACTCTCTCTGACTCAAAAATGCATCTATACTATATAAATAAAGAATTGAGTGCAATCTGAACCAAATGGCTCGGACCAATTTTAATATGGCCCATTCGTATTGTTCTTGGGTCTAAGTGGCTTTGACCACTTGACCTATGGATTGAACCTACACCCATTTGGGTTCGGTTCGTGTTGAAAGAATGTGAGAAGAATGAAAAATGAACGAATTAAAATGGTAGCCAAAAGTGGGTATTTATAGAGTAAATGGTGCCTTTTAGTTATTAGATGTGTCCCTTTATTGGCATCCACGCTTATTCATTTTGGGTTGCAATGGTTCAGACATAAGTTTGGGTTACATTTTTTCCTCTCATGATCTTTTTATCGCACCTTTTAAGTGCAGTACATCCCTTAACAATATGAGTGAATGTTGATTACATTCACAGTTTTTGTCTCAAGGACAATCGAAGTTTTCTTGATAAGTTAACTGTGTAGTTTATTATTGTTCATGTCATTGCGTGTGAGGGACCTTACACAGTTAATATTCACGTTGCAGTATAACGTCACATGCATAGATATATTGAAGACAAGTTTCATTCACATATTCCAACATTAACCAAAAAGTGACACTGTTTGGGCGAGAATGGGAAGAATAGACCATATGATTCTAATATAGAATGCTTCGTGAGGATTTAGGCTTTGAGAAAGGCGTGTGATCATACAATTCCAAGCTTGGTGGAAGATTAGTTGGGCAAAGGATAAGGAAGCTGGGAGAGAAACAACCGTCGAGTGAGTGAGTTTGAAATCGAGGGATGGTTTTGGTATTTGTAAGCAAATGACATGAGCATGGATTTTCTGAAACGTTTTCAGGCTGTTGCATCCATGCCAAAGAGAGAGAATGCAATGAGTTGCTGCAAAGGAGTTCTTCAAATCAAATGTCATAAAAAGAATGCACTAATTATTTTTTAAAATTATAATTATCAACTATCTAATTAGTATTTGTTACTTCAGACTCATTCTGACTTAACTATTTTGATATTTTGAAATTATATAATTTTAAGAAAATATTTTTGTATTATATAATTTTTTAAAAAATATTTAGTATTTTAGAATAAGAACTAATAATGTATTTCTTTAATAATATTTTCTAATGTATTTCTAATTATTTTGTTTAAATCAATTTAATTAAAAAAATAGATAATTTTATTATTTAGGGCTGCTAATGGTAGTTTCCCTTCTTTAGTTTGAATTGTTTCCTTCACTTTTCATAAAACAAAACTAGGCATAAAGAACCAATATTCGGTGTTAACAATCCCCCGCCAAAAACGTCTTCGCGGGAGGGAGGGAGAGAGAGAGAGAGGGAGGGGAAGGGGAGAAAAGAGAGCCACAAGAATCTCTGACAAAGCGGCGAAGTTCTGTGACAGCTCAACGGCTCCGAACTTGTAGGGTTTTCCAAGAATGTCACCTCCAGAGACCAAACGACACCAACAGGCACACAAAACTCACAACGGCTGCGATCAACGACCGCTTCAATTCAGATTTGTTGCGCATCAATCCAATCGTCCGTTTAATTTCCGGCGAATCACCAATTTTCCGGCATTCAACGCCCGTTCCACGACCTTGCCAAAGAAATTCAGTTCTCCATCATTCTTTTACAATCTCGGTAACCTTCACGTGAATGCGCCAAATTTTGGCTTTAAGGTTTGGACAAATGTGGTTCTTGATTCGAAAGCTCAGCCAAAGAAGAAGAAATTCGATGTAGTTGGGGTTTTTATTGTGTAATCGAAATGGTATGTGGGTTCGAACATGACTTTACATTGCTTTCTTGATCTGAAATTTTTCACTATTATATATGAATTGAAAATTTTGTAGATGGGCATTTCATCTTTTTTCCTGTTATCTGATGCATAGAAATTTCAGGGTTTAGTTTAAATATCGTTAATTTAAGTAGAACTTTGTGAAAAAAAAACATCATAGATTATGAAAGAAGACACGAACCACATTCAATCTTGGTAGATAGTATACATAACTCAGCTGTAAAGCCTTTGTTTAACTATTTGGGGTTGGTTCCTAGCTACCTAGATAGTACATACATTACAAAAGAAATTAAGAGAGGAGGTAAAATCAGAGTTTGAGATATAAAATGCACTCGTGAGTGAGATGCATCAAGTATATGAACTTTTTGAAACTTATATAAAGTGAAGATGTTTTTATGTTGGGATGGATTTGTGGAGTGGTTAGTGTTGGTATAAAGTCAATATGTGCAATCGGAAACAAGACGTCGCGCTCCATTCTTCATAGTGTATTATTGTTTGCACAACAATGGTAAATTGAGAATCTCTACATTGACTAACTAGTAACTACCCGTGGCAGTGTGAGAAACTTATAGCAACTGCTACATAAATCCTTATAGCAACTGCTACATAAATCCTTTGTCTAGTAGATGATTGTGATGGTTGCAGAGAATGAGTTTCTTTGTCTAGTAGAAAAAATTTGTCCTTTGAATACTAGGTGTACAGTTTTGATGATATCACCACTAAGAAATCTAAAAGAGGGAATTAACCATTTTCTAACTGAAATTGGAGCCAAGAATCACCAGAAGATACATATTAAATCAGTACAGAAGATGAAATAATTTGTCTTGTGCCTGCGCATAAAAAAAATTTGATGGGTTGGAAATAATTCAGTTCTCAAGAGTATATTTTAATTGTACACAGTCGTCGTTGTTGTTGAGATAAGAAGAACGCAGATTCATTGGAGGTTTGGGGATATATTTGCAACTTCCACTGAAACTTTAGAGATGCCCAATTATAAATTATAATGTATTAGAAGCTTTGCTTTCTCAGTGTTTTGTGGATTCAAATATTGTTCTTGGGTCGTTCCAGTTGAATTTGCAGAATAATATTGATGATAAGATTAAATAACAAAATGCTTTACAAATTTGCTGTCACATAATACCTGATAACTAATTATTAACGTGACTGTTTATAATGAAAATATTAACAACTTTTATAATGTTGATTGTAAATGTACAGTAATTGTCTAATGAAGGAAGCATATATACTTGAGAAAACTTCTATCTAAAGTAGAAGGCAATTGCATTGATGCTTGCTAAGTCTCTGATATTGAATGCTAAATAACATATATAAGATTTAAAAATACTTAAATGCTTATCCACAAATTTAGTACGACCGCATTAACATTAACAAAATAAGAATTCTTTTAGGCTCTGAAAGCAAGAAGAAATAATCTATATAGGATAGTTAACAAAAATAGAAAGGAAAGAAGAAAAAAAATCAAACAAAGTGAAATGTTAGACATCTCAATTTTTTTTTTTTTTTTTTTTGCGTTTCTTGACCAAGCAGATAAATGGATTATAATGACAATATGTCGGTGTTTTCAGAGACGTTGATGCACTATGGATAAGTCTATTGGTTTGCGCTTAGTGTCTTTTCTTTTAATGGCCCAAGCTTAAAAAGGCTCGTGGTAGGCAGACCAGCTTGATGAACTAAAATCTTGAAAATGTAGCAATGAGATACACACATATGTGTGTGTGTGTATATATTGATATTGATGTATTCTGAAAAGGGATTTTGGATAAAACGGATCAGATTTTTTCTATCACTAATATATATATTTATCCTCACCAGTTTAAGCTTTTAATCTGATGTTATATTAAACTGAACTTATATTAAATTATAAATGCAGGGCGCTGCAGTGAATATCATTGTAGGTTCTCATGTTTGGGTTGAAGACCCAGATGTTTCTTGGATTGATGGACAAGTGTCAAAAATTAATGGCGAGGAAGTCGAGATCCATGCTAGTGATGGAAAGACGGTAATTCGAGTTCAGACTCTGTGAAATAACATTCATTTTAAGTGAATTGATTTTTAAATTTATCCGACTTCATGATCGTTTTTCTGGTTATTTTTTTGCGAACTTTGGGTTTCAGAATATATTGGATGGGTGTTTTGTATGGTTCTATATGGTTTATGTCCGTTCCTTTTTTAATGATATTTTTTAGTCAAAAATATAATAACCCAATTGTACAACATGTGATTTTGATGGAGCAAACAAATATATACCATACATGCACTTTTGATTCTTAAATTCCTCATCTTCACAAGAATATCAATACAATTCTTATTGCCTTGTAATCCAGTGGAAAGAGCAAGCGGATGTTTATTTTTGTATCTTGTACATTGATCCATTTGTAGAGAAATAGTGCCATAGTTCTAAAATATGCCTTGGAATTTGATCAAAAGTTTGAATTTTGATTTTGTCATCCTTGTTTTGGGAACTTCCTTCAAGTTTAGACTGGTAAAAGGAATATTGAAAAGAGACTTAAGCCTGCTGTCTGTTTGTTACAATAGGTGTAAGCCTACACCTTTTTTTTTTTGGTTATCACCAAAAGAACCAGGAAGTCTTAAGATCAAAAACTGGAACTCCATAGAGTGACTTTCGAGGGTTTGAGAGACCCAATAATGACTTCACAATCTAATTATGCTAAATTCATTAAGGTAGATGATTAAAAAAATACTCTATTGGATGTAATTATATTAAGGTTATAGAAAACCTACGATCTCACTCTTGGTTTCTCCTATAACTTTTAGTCCTGGCCCTTGATACTACTAAAAAATTCGCACGACTATTTTAAAAGCTTCAGACCTTAATTACAGCATATGAAACTGAATGAAAAGAATGAGCATCCCAAGCTGTTATAATAAACAAAGGCTGTTTTTTAAGTAACTACTCAAAACCAGCCATGGGACCACAATAGGCTCAGTGGGGCAGCTGCCCTCACTCAAATTTTCTATTCTACTTTGATATCTAAGTTTCTCAAAAGTTTTAAAGTTGCCCCCCTTCAGTGTTTTTAAAACCCTCTTTAAGTCTTCGACAATAATTATAGTTTAGTGACTGGGAAATGATACTTTCTCTATTTACCGGAAAAAGAAATGATACTTCCACCTAGAATATGAAATTTAACAATCAGTGATTCAGATTATACTGATACAAATTCTGACACCTATCCTATCTGATAATGGGTAAAATATTCAATTCCCCAGGGGTAGCGGTTATATGATACCCTAGGTCAATGAAAATCCCATCCTTTCCATGATGGTAGGAAATAGTGAATTAGTATTGGCTGAGGGTACTATTTTTCGGGTACCCCCAGGGTACTGAACACCTACTCCTGGTAATGCTAGTCATATAACAAGTGGATTCACCAGTAGTCAGATACAATATGAGAGTCTCTTTTCTCAGTAAAAGTCAATTAGTTTAAGTTATTTCTACTGCAAAGATTTTTAAAGAATTGGATACTTTTTGGGTTTATTGTTATTTTTTTCCTAGTCCATAGTTTGATTCCATGTTGCAGTTTTGGAATTTACTGATGAACTAACACTTATTTTATATTCATAATTCTTGCTAGTTATATATCTGATGTAGTTTGTAAAGTGTGAAGTTCATATATTTCTTTTCGGAACTCCAACAAGAACAGCTTCTGTTTTAAAAAGGTTTATTATCTTCATGAGGACTGATTGTCTTGCTGTCACATGTAACTTAGTCACTGCTTGTTCCTATTATTGGTCTTGTTCTTCTCTGCTTCTTGAGTTTCCCATTCCCGTTATTCACTGGAGAAGTTGCAAATAATTTTGTGCAAGATTTCATATCCTTATTGTTGTAAATGAATGGTTAAATTCTGCCAAAGAGTTGCACAACTTCATTCTCGATTTTTATTTTTATTTTTATTTTTTCGCAGTACGATATAATCAGTTTTCTACTAAGAGTGCATGCTTGGCGTTGCTGTAGCTTGTAATAAGCACTTTTTTTTTTATAAAAATAGAACTGTCAAACATGTGCTGCCTTTGGAAAATCAGATAGTGTTTGGCGACAGAATTTAAAGAACTTTTCATAAATATTATGTTTCCATAAATACATTGTTTATTTTATAATTTTTTTCTTTTTTTGTTACCAAATACAATTAAAAGCACTTTTAGCCCTTCCAATCACAATGCCAACTTGCTCTTAGTCTCTTCTTTTTGCAAAGTTCTATATGTAATAGTTCATATGATTACCCGGTTGACAAATGGAGAAAGAGTACCTCTTCAGATGCAGAATCCTTTGATCATAACAACTTCTCCTGACCATCACTTTGTAAGGATTCACGTGCCTAGCCTTGTCATTGAGTGGAAAATGTAAAACTTAAGACTGATTCCAAAGATTTCATGTTAAATAATGAGTACCTGTGCTACTTGAGGTTAACCTTTGGAATTTGCAAACTAAATATCACGTTTGTTTATACTTATCAAAAAAAAAAAAAAAAATATCACGTATGTTTGATTTTTTTATTTGGCTTCAATCATCTGTTTAAAATATCTCATACTTTTAATTTGGCTAGGTTGTTGCAAATTTATCAAAACTTTACCCCAAGGATGTGGAAGCTCCTGCTAGTGGAGTTGATGACATGACTAAGCTATCATATTTGCATGAGCCAGGAGTTCTCCAGAATTTGGTGACTAGATATCAACTCAATGAAATCTATGTGAGATTATTTTCCCTTCAGATTTATTTCATCAATTAATTCCTGTTCACCCTTGTGAGACAAAGCAATGAATCACTGCAGCTATGGGCGGCTTGTCATAATATTGTATCCTACTTTGACATTATGGCAGACTTATACCGGAAGTATACTTATCGCCATTAATCCATTCCAAAGATTGCCTCATCTGTATGATGCTCACATGATGGAACAGTACAAGGGAGCACCATTTGGAGAACTGAGTCCTCATGTTTTTGCAATTGCTGACGTTTCTTACAGGTGGATGTGTATTACATTTACATTCTACACTGGTTGTCTAAAAGGATGATGCAAATAATGTTTTTGATTTCTTGAAATGACTCAGGGCAATGATCAATGAGGGGAAAAGCAATTCTATCCTGGTAAGTGGTGAAAGCGGGGCTGGTAAGACTGAAACCACCAAAATGCTTATGCAATACCTTGCCTATTTGGGTGGCCGTAAAGTCACTGAAGGACGGACGGTTGAACAACAAGTTCTAGAAGTAAGATGCATTTTCTGACCCTAGTTCTATTCTTTTGAATGTTTTAAAAGGTCAGCGGGGCTTATGTTTTAAGGAGTGGGTCATATAAGGGCTTGAGGCTTGGATCCCAATAAATTTATGAGCTGTGTATTTAAGAATTATGACAGACACATGGCATTGGTGTCTAAGTTGGATACGAATTTTTTATAAGATTACTTCCTAAGGTTAATGTATATTGTTACTTTGAATGTGGACACTGCTTAGAAAGTCCAGTATTTGACGATTAAATAAAGGCAAAATATGGATTTCCTTCCAGCAATGAAGACAATATATTATGGGTGTCGGTCCTACACTAGTGATACTTCAAGTTAGAGGTGGAAATGTGATGAACTCATGAACATGTCTTAGTCATATGAATCATACACTAGAGTTAAGTTTCAGTTATTAGAGTAATGAAATTACCCATCTTGTTTCATTCCATTTAAATTATTATGCTTACCATTTCTTAAATAGAGAAGAAAAATTCATTAATAAAACTAACATTGCATATAGGAGCTAATAGCTATATTGCCGAAGTGGTGTGATGGACACTAGATGGTGAAACTATAAAATGATAGCTATAGGAATATAACAATATAATGCAGTTCCCAGCCAAACTAGGCTTAGATAAATGTTATTTTTTAAAGAAATGGACACCATTCCAACAGGTCGTCTATAACATTGTCTCTCATACAATTCCTCCCATTTTTTTTCTTCTTTTATCTGCATTCTTCAAAATAAGATGATCCACAGTGAGGGCCATTTTCATGGTAGTTGGTTCCTTAAAACCCTTTTAAGGCTTTATTTTGACATTATAAATTCTCAAACTAGATGATGCAGAAGTAAGCTGCACGGCTTGTGTCTCTGATTTTCGAAAACTTACTTCAACTTCTTAGAATGAATATGCACTATCTTTTAGCTGTAATTTAAAGCCTCCTTAATGGTTTTTTCTTTTTTTAACCTAACTTCAACTCATCTGAGACTTTTGTCCTACTTGATGTAAATGCAGTCGAATCCAGTTCTTGAAGCATTTGGCAATGCAAAAACTGTTAGAAATAACAATTCCAGGTATACTGCTGCTAAAGTCATGTTATATCTACTTGTTTAAATGCATTCAAACAATGAAAATTTTGAACTTCGTTTGCTCTAAATGGTGGTCATTTAGATATTTTATTATTGGTGCAGCCGTTTTGGTAAATTTGTCGAGATTCAATTTGATAAGCATGGAAGAATTTCAGGAGCAGCCATTAGAACTTACCTTCTAGAGAGATCTCGTGTTTGCCAAATTTCTGACCCTGAGCGCAACTATCATTGTTTTTACCTTCTTTGTGCAGCACCTCCGGAGGTAGGGTTTTCACCCATTTTAATCTTTCATATTGCATAGCCCTTGCTCAAGATTCCATGAATTTGTAACCACAGCATTCATTTTAACAGTTTCCAAATCTTATCAGGAAATTGAGAAATATAAGTTGGGAAATCCTAAATCATTTCACTATCTCAATCAGTCAAATTGCTATGAACTTGTTGGTGTAAGTGATGCTCATGATTATCTTGCCACTAGGAGGGCTATGGATGTTGTCGGAATAAGTGCGAAAGAACAGGTATAACCTTTGGACTGAACTATGTGTATAGCTTTATGCGGTAGAAAACTGCAAATAACCTCGTCTATCTCTTTCAGGATGCTATTTTCAGAGTTGTGGCTGCAATTCTTCATCTTGGTAATGTTGAATTTGCCAAGGGGGAAGAAATTGACTCATCAGTTATAAAGGATGAAAACTCCAAATTCCATCTTCAAATGACATCAGAACTTCTCATGTGGGTTTAGAGTCTTGATTTTTTCATGGCTTGATATATCCTCTTTGTAGTTGACGACATTTGAAATTGATTTAATGCTTTTTTAGGTGTGATCCTCTTGCACTGGAAGATGCATTAATGAAGCGTGTCATGGTCACCCCAGAAGAAGTTATCAAGAGAAGTCTTGATCCTATTGGTTCAACAGTTAGCAGGGATGGCTTGGCTAAGACAATATACTCCCGCTTGTTTGACTGGTAAGACAAGCACATCCAGGTCATTGTTTTCACTTTCTTGATTATATGTCTGAATAGTTTATTCTGTTCGGGCATAGTACAAAGTAATTTGAGGTGCTGATTCGATGCTAAGGTCAGGAATTTTATTGTATACAGGTTGGTGGATAAGATTAACTTCTCAATAGGGCAAGATCCTAACTCAAAATCTTTGATTGGGGTCCTTGACATCTATGGTTTTGAAAGCTTTAAGACTAATAGGTATTGGTTGATTAATTGAAAAAAATGGGATCAAATAGTGAAATTAGTATTTTTTTTGGCAGATTAGTTATAGTGAGTTAAGTACTTCTAAATCCATCATTGCAGTTTTGAGCAGTTCTGTATTAATTTCACAAATGAGAAACTGCAACAACATTTCAACCAGGTATGGTACGATGTTTATCGTGCTTGACAACATTGTTTTAAATTGTTTTATCAACTTATAATTGAAGCATTTTGATGTCATTCAGCACGTGTTCAAGATGGAGCAAGAGGAGTACACAAAGGAGGAGATAGACTGGAGCTACATAGAATTTGTTGATAATCAAGATGTCCTGGATCTTATTGAGAAGGTTTCTCCTTTTAGTCTAGTAGCTCTTGCTGACATTTATGATTTTCTTTATTCGTCTTTTGCTGTAGGCTGTGGCTATATTTCATTCTTAAAAATTATACTCTAGCCTTAGTCTGTAGGCAAGGAACTTTATATAGAGGGTATCACTGGATAATAATGTGAAACACCTTATGTTGGACTTCATCCCCTTCTATTCTTCCAAAAATTTGCACGTAGTGTGGAGATCACTTGGCCACAAAGGTCAGTGTTATTGAAATTGGTTGGACAACATAAAATATTATTTACATGTTGTATTGTTTAAATTTCTTTTCCTTTTGGTTTCGGATTTTGTGTGTTTCTGTTTATTGTGTATGTATCTATGGTTTTTTAGTTTACATCTACATATATCAATATCTGTATAGTTTCATTTAGCGTCATGAGATTTCTATGTTTTAACGACTTAAAATGAAGGGCATACAGTTTATCAGGAGAAAACCAAAATCTTGTGATATCCTCATTCTGTAGGCAAGTGATTTTTCTAAGAGTATAACACTAGCTACTAATGAGAAAGAGCTTAGGAACTTTATCCTATCCTACTGTTCCCAAGATACAAGTACAGTGAAGAGACCACTAGGCAACAACAGCCAGTGTTCATTTAACTGGGGGAACAACAGAAATTGTTATTTACAAGTTGTATCATTTAGAATTATATTGTTTTCCTTCTTGAAATTGTTATTTAGTGGTATTTTCTGTTTATACTTGTAACTGAAACAATGAACCCAAAATATACTGGCACTTAAGAACAATGATGTGTAAAATTAACCAAGGCATTTGGTTTTGAAACATTTAAACATTTTATTTGTAGTTCTCTTCTTCAAAGTGGAAAAAAAAAATAAAAAATCTAGGAATAACTTCCAAGAGTTATCTAACCTAGAAATATCTAAATATATTACTAAGACAAGATGCCTGAAAGTTTGTATTGAATCGGATTTTACTTTCTAAAAGCAGAGAATATGTTGTTATAGCTGCCACAAGATTTATTTTATTATATTGCAAAGGTTTGGAAGGCCCGCTGGAAAGCTGTTCTCTATTTGATCATTAGGCAGTTGAATCTTATTCCTGGATAAATGGATGTTTGTACCTGATACATGATTTTAAAATTTGATACATTTGCAATGAATTAGTGGCTACACGTACCGCCGTGCAAAGGAAGTGGGATGATAAGCATAGGGTGAAACTTGGGGAAAGTATGTTGCCAAACATACCTTTCTCTAGGCTTTTTATCCTTTTGCGTATTCAAGCTCTCCGAATTGTACTGTTATTTATGTATCTGTTGTAGGTTTATTGTTATGGATAAATGATTTTAGGAGACGATATGTTTCCAAAATTGATTCCCTGATCTGGTCTTGTTTTGCAAGCTACGATACATTTCTTTATAATAGTTGTTGCTACATAAGAATTTATGTATTCTGAATAGATTTAGCATACCACAATTAGTGCATTGTTACTCAGATATCAATTCATCAAAATCTAAAGTAATTTTACAAATAATTTTATTTGTATTACTGTTGCAGAAACCTGGAGGGATCATTGCTCTGCTTGATGAAGCCTGGTAGATAATATTTCCTCACTATTTGTGTATCCATGCATTTAAATATGTACAAATGCATCTCTTTTTTGTATGTGTGCATGTACGACTTTCTATATGCATGATTTCTCATCTGCTTATGTGGTGGATTTGTTCTGTTTCCAGCATGTTTCCAAAGTCAACTCATGAAACATTTTCAACAAAGCTTTATCAGACATTCAAAGCTCACAAACGCTTTATCAAGCCAAAGTTATCTCGCACCGATTTCACCATTGCTCATTATGCTGGAGAAGTGAGTAGATTCTGGAATTTTTTTCTTGACTAAAAAGTTGCTGCTGCAATATAGCATCTTCATTCTGCACAATTTTTTTTTTCCCTCGCCAGGTTTTATATCAATCTGAGCAATTTCTAGACAAAAACAAAGACTATGTTGTTCCTGAACATCAAGATTTGTTGAGTGCTTCCAAATGTTCTTTTGTAGCAGGCCTTTTCCCTCCACTTCCTGAAGAAACAACCAAATCTTCGTCCAAATCTGCTAAATTTGCGTCTATTGGTTCTCGTTTTAAGGTATCTTCTCTTAAATCATGTTTCTAACAGTTCCTGTGAATTTTTGTCAGTAAAGTAGTTATTCAAGGGCACATTAATCAATTTTTGCCAATATCATTAGCATTTTAATGTTCATCACACTGCAAGGTGAAATCTGACGACTAATTTAACTGGCGCAGCTACAACTTCAACAATTAATGGAAACACTAAATTCTACAGAACCCCATTACATTAGATGTGTGAAGCCAAATAATCTTCTTAAACCTTCTATCTTTGAGAATGTCAATGTCATGCAGCAACTACGTTGTGGTGTGAGTACAATTCCGAATTTTCATTTTCTATTAAGTTATTGTATATTTTTTTTTGAATTTCATGGCCATTTTTATCCATGTAGGGTGTTCTAGAGGCAATTAGAATCAGTTGTGCTGGATACCCGACTCGGAAGATTTTTTTCGAATTTTTAAATCGATTTGGCCTACTTGCTCCACAGGTTTTGGAAGGGAAGTAAGTGCTAGTTTACTTTCTGAACTGATTAGAAAAATTATTGCATTTTGTTGAACACTTTTTGGTGCTTTTCAACTTGGGATTCCATCTGATTTGCTGGAGTATCACCGTTAAATTCTTATATGTGGATTTGTCACATATTTGAGCAGCTCTGATGAAAAGGTTGCATGCCAAAAGATTTTGGAAAAGATGGGGCTTATGGGGGCTCAGGTAATACAAAGTTTGTGTTTGCCTCTTTTAAAAAAAGTTCTTGTTATAACCCTTAATCCCTTGTGTTCATGACCATAAAAATCTTATGTAATTTAATTTCTCATACAAGTATTGACATTGACCTGATACTGGCAGTTCAACTAAATTAACTAACAAGGGAACTTACCCTAACATTGACGTATGCTTGCAATCAAGGTTTTAATAGGTGTTTTTTTTTTTTTTTTTTTTTTTCGCTGAAAAGAAAAGGGTTTTAAAAGGTATTTGTTATGCTTGTTTGTGAGGTGGTTATGGAAGACCTTAAGACATAAAATTTGAGCAGTGGCCTTGTAAGGCATAAGCCTGATGGGTCAAGCTTTCACAAAAGTTTTGCCTTTTTCAGTTTTGCTCCTGTTTTCACTTCAACTCATGAGGCCTCATTCTCATGTGACCATTCTTTTCATTTGAGTTATTTATGTTATTATTTCTTTTTCATCTTTAAAGCAGCTGACTAATTATCTTTTTTATGATAATAAATTCTAATCACATTCACAGTTTATTTACTTTTCTGTTGTACTTGACAGTATTCCATTTTTGAGTTATGGTGATCTTCCAGTGGGATAAGTGATCTTCATATTATTTAATCTTGAGTGGTAATAGTGTTATAATTGTTTAATATAGGGTATTATGCTTTAAAATTTCGTACCAGTGTTTAAACATATTTTAAGTTTCCCATTTGCATAGTTTGTCCTGTCTTTTCATTATTTTCATGATTACCTTGATGCTTTTGCATTCTGCCTTCCATTCCTCTGCCGAGGGTTTCCTTGAACCTTGCCTTTTAAAAAATACTGCCTTAAAAACACTGTTTGATACACTACTAACTGTAAGTTATGACATATTGGTTTACATCCTGAGCATTCAAGATTACATCCAATAGGTTCATAATTTGGTTTGCAGATAGGAAAAACAAAGGTTTTCCTAAGAGCTGGTCAGATGGCTGAGCTAGATACGAGGAGAGCAGAAAAACTTAACAATGCAGCCAAGACTATTCAGAGGCAGATTAGGACGCACATTACTCACAAACGATATGTTGCTTTGCGGAAGGCAACTATTTGTTTACAATCGATATTGAGAGGTGTGACAAAATCATTGAAGCATGAATCCATCCCCTCGGTTCCCACAAAAAGCTTTTTTTTTTTCTTTGGGGGATTAACTACCTATACCCTTTCTTATCTATATCATAAGTAAGTTAAAATTTTTCTTTGTTGGTTATGACTTCTAGGAAGACTTGCATGCAAGATATTTGAGAACTTGAGAAGGGAGGCAGGTGCTCTTAAAATTCAGACTAATTTGCGTAGGCACTTGGCAAGAATGGGTTACACCAAAAACAAGTCCTCAGTCCTAATCTTGCAGACAGGAATTCGAGCAATGGCAGCTCGTAATGAGTTTAGATTCAAAAGGCAAACAAAGGCAGCGGTTATTGTTCAGGTTGTTTTTCTTTGGGTATTGCTCGGAAGATCTACTTCGATGCATTTTATGTTTTTGAAGATGATTTTACTTGGAAAGATGCTTGCAGGCTCATTCCCGTGGTCATCGAGCCTCTTTGAACTACAAGAAACTCAGAAGCGCAGCTGTCGTATCACAATGCAGGTGGAGGGGGAGAGTTGCCAGAAAAGAGCTTAGGAAACTAAAGATGGTAGGCATTGGTATTTTAATGCTATTGAAATTTATACAAGTATTTCAGTATTGTAATTATTTAACTTTTGGAGTGTCATTTACAAGCTAAACATTTGTTAGAGTAGGATAAAAAATTGGGGGGTTCAGACTTCAATATTATTGTGGTGTGTGGGCAGGATTTATTGCCATTTGGACATTTGAAGTGACAATGACAAGAATCCATGTGATAAACTGCAATATGCTTATCAATGACAGTTTCACTTGGCAGATGCACCATTACTGCGACAGTGAAAAAAGGAGAGATCATGTATAAAACATACATGTTTAAAGTTGCCATTTGCATATTGTGTAGAAAACACTATGTCATTGTTATCACAAGTCAACACAAAAGTTTGTATTTCCCTAGCAATTGCCTCATATTTTCTCATCCCTAATGTGCATTTGCTTTATTCTTCAGGCTGCAAGAGAAACAGGTGCACTTCAAGAAGCAAAGGATAAGCTTGAGAAACAGGTGGAAGAACTCACATGGCGTTTGCAGTTGGAAAAACGTTTGAGGGTAATATATTTATGTCATTTAGGTCCAAATTAAGTATTTTCAACCATTCTGCAGGAAATTTACATTCTAATTATGTATTTTTCTGTGAGACTGATTGGCAAGGTTCTTATCAACAAAAAAGAAAAAAAGAAAAAGAAAAAAAAACTGTAATACCAGGCCTTTTGATCCATTGTTTTTTTTTTTTATATTATTTATTATTTATTATTATAGGTAAGGCATACACGTAACAGACTCACACATGCACTATTGTCCCAATAGGAACTTGAACCCTCAGCCTCCTATGTTGGGGGAGGAGGAGGAGATACCACTTGGTTAGGTCCATTGTCTTTCTGATTCATTGCAGTAAACTCTTTGGAAGTTTTGTACCATTGCTTGAACTTCTATTGGCAATGACTTGAATGATGATTATGACCATACTGAATTTGAAGAATAGCATTGATAAATGTAGTGCTACTTGGTTATGGCTTCTAAACGAAGTTTAATGTCATGTGATAGACCGACTTAGAAGAGGCAAAAGGGCAGGAGATAACAAAGTTGCAGAACTCCTTGCAAGCTATGCAAAGCAAAGTTGATGAAACAAATGGACTGCTTGTCAAGGAACGCGAGGCTGCACAGAAGGCAATTGAGGAGGCATCTTCTATTATCAAAGAGACCCCAGTTATTGTCCAGGATACTGAAAAGATTGAGACTCTGACTGCAGAAGTGGAAAGCTTGAAGGTAATGTTGGCTGCCTATTATTGTACCTCGCACGTGTGTGCGTGTTATATCATTGCAATGGATAACTATTACCTCTTTCAATTGTGCCATTATTAATTCATGCATTGAACCTTAAATGCCCTCCGTTGTAAATATGATTCCCAATAGAGGGGAAAACTTCATGCTTTAGTTTTTATATGATGGAATTGCTTCAATATTGAGGTTTGGGAACTTGGTGGTAGAATGAGGATGTACAAGCCATCATAAAAACAAGAATGAACATTATAAAATTTGGAAAAAAATAAAAAATAAAATGAAGAAACCCTCAAGGAGCACAAATGTGCAATGAAGGAAGGTAAAAAAATGTATTTTGTGAAGCTATTTCTAAGTCATATGGTGATAATTATTCTAAATAAGGTACGATTATGAAGAATGGGGAGAAGAATACATGACTTGCTATGTTAAGGGAGAGGAAAACTAGAGATTTTAATAGTATGAAGTGCATAAAGAATGAGGATAAAAGAGTCCTAGTAAAACATATGATGAAATTTGAGAAAAGTGAAGAAGTTATTTTGAGAAGCTATTGAATGAAGATCATGTAGAAAGCTTAGGTTTAGAAGAAAAAGTAACATCACAGAAATTAGAGAGAGCAGTCCTTCCCTGCCCTTCCCCCCGCCCGCACAAGATCATGGTGTGGGAAATGAAAAGTTGTTAAAGCAAGATGAAATGAGGATAATACTGGGGGCAATTTAACATTCCTATTGAGACTTAGAAGTGTTTTAAGTGATGCTGTTGTTTTTGGATACAAAATTATTCAATAAGATAGTAATAACTAAGAAAATTTACTGATGAGTAAAAGTTTTTAAGAACCTATATGCAAAACTAAAGGAGATATTCAAAGTTGTATAAATAATCATGTTATAAAATTAGTGAGTCAACTATGAAACTTCAGGAGAGAATTATTGAACAACAACTAAAACGTGAAACTACAGCCGAACAATCAATTTGAATATATGCTGGAAAGTTCAATAATGGAAATTGTTTACCTAGGAGAATAATGGAAAGATATTGAGAAAACCAAAAAGATCTTCATATAGTATCGATGGAAAAAGCCTATCATAGGGTCTGTAGATATAGAATACGCTGGAATTTTTTTTTGTTTATAGGAGGAGTTACAAATAGATATATTGATGTGCTAAAGGATATGCATGATGAATCCGTGATCATAGTACGAACAACTGTGGGAGAAACAATTGAATTTTTAATTATTGTAGGCTTAGACCAGCCATACAAGTGAATTTAACATTCCATGAAATAAGTGAACAGCTATTAGACCAGCCATACTTTGTGGTACCGAATGTTGGGTGGCTATGAAACAAATTTGCATCAAGTGAATGGGGCAGAAATGCGAATGTTGAGATGGATGGGTGGCAAGACTAAAAAGGATAGAATTAGAAATGATGCCATTCGAGAGATGGTTGGAGTAGGACCAATTGGAGACAAAATGAGAGAAAATCGGTTAAGATGGTTTGGACATGTGCGAAGAAGAGCTTTAAGTGTGCCGGTTAGGAAAAGTGACATAGTCCACATTGAGGGTAATGCTAGGGGAAGAGGGAGACCAAAGTTAACGTGGGTAGGGTTAGTAAAGAAAGATATGATAGCATGTGAATTGACTGAGGCTATGGCCTTAAATAGAGCGGAATGGAAACATGGGATTCATGTAACAACCCCAAGTGATTGGGAAAAGGCTTGGTTGTTGTGGTTGTTGTTGTTGTTGTTGCTGTAGGCTTGCATTAAGAATTGGCATTAAATCCATATGTTTTTGCTTTAGTTATAGATGAACTAATAAAACACATTTGGGATAAGGTTTCATAGTGTATGATATTTGTTGATAATGTCGTTTTATATGATGAAAGTGTGACGCTAGAGATTGAATAACTGCTAAATCAGATGTTTGGAGAGAAGTTCCAGAATCAAGAAGGTTTAAAATAATAAAACTATATATGTGGAATGTAAGTAAAAACAGAAGTACAAGTGGGGTTGCAATAATGATCAAGAATCAAGAGATGCCATATAGGAACATTTCGATACCTTGGTTCATTATACACACGGGGAGAATTGGAGGTGGTTTTAATCATAGGATAAAACAGGATGGATTAAATGGTGGAGTGCTTCTGGCGTATTATGTGATTGGTGTTAACTCTAAAATTGAAATGTCAAATTTGTTAATAGTTAATGACTAGGGATACTTTATGGGACACAATGTTGGAAAACTAAGAAACAACTTATTCATAAAATGTCTGAATTGAAAATATTGAGATGTATGTGTGACAACAGAAGAAAGGATAAAATAATAAATTCCATTCTTGAAATGGTTGATGTAACCCAATTGAAGATAAAGATGTGAGAGTAGATTAAAATGGTTTGGCCATTTGCAGTGATATCAATAGCTGCATTGATAAGGACAAATGACATGGTTCTTGTTGAGAGTAATGTTAAGGAAGGAAAGACCAAACGTAATATGGACTGAGACAGTTATGAAAGACATGGTAGCATGTGGTTTAGCTAAGGTTATGGCCTCCAAAAGAGGGAAATGGCAAAACATGATCCAAGTATGATGTAGTAGATCCCAAATTGTTGGGAAAACACTTTATTGAGTTTGGTTGAGTTGAGAATGTGCCTCATTATAAAGAGATACTAGCAATAGTTTCATTGGATAAATTAACGAGTAAAGTGCAAAAAACCCTCCTGAACTATCTTCTCTCTCCCAATAAACCCCCCTGAACTATTTTTTTTAATAGTTAACCCCCTATACTATTAATTTTTTGCAAAATCTCCCAAACCATTACTGTTCCATTCATGCCAGAATGGAAAATCAACCAATTTTATAAAAATGACAATATTACCCTTTAGCATGCCCATATCTGATTGGTTAACCCGTTTTTAATTGGTATCCCCTCCATCCCATCAATAATTCAATATTGTGAGCCCTAACAATTCCCTCTCTCTGCAATCCTGCCATTACGACCATTCAAACAAATTCAAAACCCTAATTTTAATAGGAAAATCAAGATTCTAGTCCGTTAATTTTATCTAAGATAGAAAATTCAAAACCCTAAATTCTCTACTTTAATTCAAACTCCATGAACAACCCTTGCCATCACCGGTTGGCATTTGCTCTTTGGAGCCATGTTTCATAGGAATTGGAACCTCCAAACAAATGATATAGACGAACAAGTCATTGATAGGAACCTGGATTGCTTCTCGTCCTCCTCGACCTCCTCCAAACAGGGGTGCTCTATATTCCCTCCCACATACCGGAAAACTCCTTTACAGAGAAGCCATGTTTTATGGCCTTCTTGACCATGTCCGGCCTGCAAAGTGGGGTCGATTTGACAGTAACAGACTCAGACTCTCCCAGTCTATATCAGGCCGAGCACCGGCCGATGGTTTAGATTGTAAAGGTAGAGATACATACATATATATATGTATATATCACACGCACACACACACACACACGTTTATGGTTCAGAATGCAATGAGAGAAAGAGGTGGGTTGGAATATACATGGGGTTAGATTAGGATGAGAGAGAGAAGAGAGCTGTTTGGGGCGATATATATATATATTTTTTTTGAAAGGAAAGGATCTAACTTGGGTAATTGTTTGGGGCGAAATTTGACAGAAAATAGATGAGTGAATGGGAAAGATTGATGTGCTGTCCATTTTCTATTGGTCATAGGCATTACAATTGCCACATTAGCAGGTGAAGGTTAAAACAAAAGGAAACGACGTCGTTGTATTTAAGGATAAATTGGTAATTTATTGCGTCCGGTAACCGTGACTTGACGACCTATCCTTAAATGTAACTTTTTCATAGTTCGGGGGGGGGGGGGGGGGGGGGGGGGTGGTTTATTAAATCAACTGATAGTTCAGAGTTTTTTTTTGCACTTTACTCTAAATTAAACAATAAGCTATTAGCCCAATGGTATAACCTCCCTACCCTTAAAAGATGAGGGGGGAAGGGTTTGAGCCCAGCGTGGGCAATGTGTGTGAGTACTTACCTGACAAAAAAAAAAAAATTGTTTCATTGGATAGATTGGTAAGGTGTCATCAATAGATGGGTATAAGATTGCTGAAGTATGCATTCAATACAAAAACATAGTTTGGGTCTACAATCAATAAGCTTTGATACTAATTGATAAGTACAGGACACAAACTCGAGGCTCTGATAGAGAAAACAAAAGGCCCAAAAACATTTAGAGGGGGGTAAATAGTTTCTGTCCAATTTAACTAACAATAACTGATACTTCAACTCTAATAATTATTTTCAAAACACAACAACATGAATTAGTTAAATTTTGAGAGCAGAAATAAATAAACCGTGCAACCAAATAAGAACACATGAGTTTTACGTGGAAAACCCAACGCGGAAAAATCACGAGACCTAGTCCAGGCAAACCAAATTCACTATGAGAAAGAAGTTACAACCAAGTTAACAGTTCCCAAACCCTAGTTACCTTTTGACACAAACTGACTCTCCAAACTAATATTCTTAGTTTATCAGTCATAACTAATATATTTTGTTTTTAAAATATTTTGTCAGGAAGTGTTGGTTTCTGTAAACTTATCACAAAAAAAAAGTGTTGGTGTTCGCATTAGTTATGTTATATGGATTCTTCTACATTTTTGAAATACCCTTATTGGACATGACTGAATGTGTATGGGGGGTATGGGATATGCGTCCAACATGTCTTGTTGTCCATGCACCTAACATACATGTTTGCTCTTTAATTATCCACTACCTTTCTTATTAAATCTCTTATGGTATTGATGCCAATAGACATGCCTACGTAGCTGACTGTTATCGGCTTGATAGCAGTGGGATTACGTGGGACGTGCGTTTAGGCGTTCTTTTCAGGATTGGGAGATGGACGAGGTATGTGTTCTTTTGGATAAGTTATATCAGCAGGAGGCAGTTGGCAGAGGTAGTGATGATCTTCTGTGGGTCCCCTCTACCCATGGTAGATTCGATGTCCGGTCCATGTTTCTATGCCTCTTCAACTTCGTTGGCCTTGATTTTCCATGGAAGACCATATTGCGCTCTAAGGCTCCACTTAGAGTGGCATTTTTTGTATGGGACTGCTGTATGGGGTAAGATTTTGAAGCTTGACAACTTGAGGAAGAGAGGCAACAATATTGTTAATTGGTGCTGCCCTTGCAAACAAGATGGTGAGTCTGTGGATCATATCCTCTTGCATTGTCCCGTGGCGTATGACTGTTGGAACCTTATATTTGGCTTATTTGGTATGCTTTGGGTAATGCCTCGATCTTCGAAGGGTCTGATTAACGCGTGGAGGGGATGCCGCGTGAGAAGTAGCATACGCGACTATTGGAGGACAGTTCCACACTATTAGATCCCGGTTCCGTTTTTGTATAAGGGACGCGTTCCCCTTTTGAACGCTTTTTTAATCGATTATTACTTATCAAAAAAAAAAAAAAAAAATTATATGGTTGCTTCATAATGAGTGAAGTGCCAGTTGTAAACAACTTTTACACACCAATTATACATCGACGATTTTATTAAATCTCTAATAGGCTTTTGTATCCTTGGAGATTGGCTTATGTGATTGGATAGATTTTGATATTGTTACATAATGATTTTCTTTTTGATTCTGAGGAGGGGCAATTTAGAGTCTGATTTCTTATTTAGAAGAGGTTTGATATAGAGAATCTTTTAAAGGAGATTGTTTGCGTAGATCTTGTTTTTTGGTTATTCCCTTTGAGATCTCAATAGGATATTTAATGGACCATGTGAGCTCTTAGTTGGATTGGCATTTGTGAATCGTGAGTTATATATTTCAGCTTGCATGTTGTCATGTCATTCCTTGTCATATGTTACAAATTTTTCTTCTTGGCCTTGGCTTCCTCACTTTTTACTTCTTTTATCTTTTACACAGGCTTTGTTGCAATCTGAAAAGCAACGAGCTGATGATTCTGAGCGGAAATGTGCTGAAGCCCAGGAATCTAGTGAAGAAAGTCGTAAGAAGTTGGAGGAAACTGAAAAAAGAGTCTATCAACTTCAGGATTCTTTGAACAGGTAGTAGTAGTGCCTAACCCTTCAAGATAAATATTTTTTTGTTTTGATCTCAAAGAATTTAGATATACTTCTCATCAAAGTCCATCCTCATTTCTCTACAAGATATATTCAAAATTAGCTCAAAATTAGATCTTAAAGGGGTCAGTAAACATCCAGTTGTCCCCAAAATTATTAGGTGTTGGGCCAAATTATGTGTACCATGCTCATCTATCTTCGCTCATGCGTCACCTTTTGCTTGTGAAAAAGGCATACAGACAGACATAATAGAGTAAAAATAGGCAGACAGAATGGGGAAAATCCCAATCGAGAGACTTTAACAGAAGACCTCTCAATAATAAAGCATTGATATCATGTAAGGCAATTGCTTGCTCTAAAAGCTTAGGCTATTAGAGAAGCATCCAAACAATATGTAATGAGCTCTCACATGTTTATGAGCAAGAATTTGGACTTCAATTAAGTCAATGATTTTTTTTTTTTTTTTTTGACCCTGACATCCACAAGATTTGAATGTTAGGACATTGGTTCAGTCTTTTCAAACAAAGAATCTGTGTCAAGCTCCCATTTCTACACATAGCTAAACTTGCCTGCATAAATGAGAAATAATATATCATGTCTATAACTCTTCAAAGTATACCATCGTTTCTTGTCCGTTCACATATTCCTTTATCATATTCTGTTATGACTAGTTTTTGAAACGCATAACAAATATAGTCCTATTTTGAACCATCCAATCCACTATGAAAGGTGTAAATCAAGATTCATACATGTGATCTTGTGAAGAACAAAAGGTCTTAGGTCTTTCTATGTTTTTATTTTTGTTGTTATTTTTTTTGCAAATGAATTTGAACTGTCAATGAGGAATTGGGAGAAAATGACTGGCGAAGTGTCTTACAGGTCTAGGCTCTTCTTATGTTTCCAGAAGTACTGAAGTACTGAAAATCAGGGAAAATATTTCGATTCTAGTCTGTCTTTTAGAATACCAAAATTGAACCATTATAGTGTAATATGAGGTGCTTAAGCTACATTCAGAAATATCAATAATACAGAACTCACCCTATGTAACTCACCTTATGGTTTATATTTCTAGGATAAGTAAGGCTGTGAGGCTTGGAGTTGGAAACAATTCCAGGAAAACTTGATGAGGTCTTACAGAGACAACAAAGTTGAAGTCTTGAAGAAGTTGCGGTTTGGGAAGGAATTTTGTGTTGCACGTACATGGTTGTGCCTCATTGGACACTCTCTTCTACTTATTGAAGAAAAAGAGAGGAGATATTTGGTGAGAAGTTAAGAACTATATGTGAAGGTAGCAGTTAGTACTTTAGGGTGGTGACATGCATTGATTTGTCTTCAATGGCTTGGATGAGTCTTAATGAGCCTCAAGTTGAATAAATTATAGTATGCCCACGCTGCATTGAACAACTTACATGTCTAGTTTGAAGATGAGATTGATGGTGGGGGTAAATTTTATCTTAGGGTGGTTAGTGCTTTGATCGTCTACAATGAGTTGGACAAGTGTTAATGAACCTCAAGTTGAATAAATTATTCTATGCTCATGCTGTGTTGAACAACTTACATATCTAGGTTGAAGACGAGATTGATGATGGGCTAAATCTTATCTTAAAAATCATTTCATTATTCGTGTTAAAAAGGGTTACATTTTAGTAATGATAGTCAGTGAATTAACTGAGTCAAACCCTACCTCTTATTGCTTTATAGTAATCATGTTAACACGCTGACAGTAGCAAGCTTGTCTTTGCCATTTAATTATAAGGTCTCATGATATCATAGAACTGTAAGTAACATGACACCCTATAACTTAAACCAGCCTTTGGTTGAGTTCATGTTTTTCAACTAAGAATCTCGGTGAAGCATCAGTTTGCTACTTGCCGGGCTGTATCAAGTGGAATAACAATCTGACATGGATGATCATATAAGTGGCATGGAGTGAGTTATTGATCAATAATGGATCTGTAGCATAATATGCTCACGAGATGATTCATTGAGGTGAAAAATGTTGGTAGAAAACAGACATTGAATGGTGCCCTCTATCATCTAGTGTCATTATCCGGTGTGGTCCCGGTTAATCAAGGGTGCTGGAAGGGGCAAATTGGACAGAGGCCTAACTTTTGGCATTATTTGCATAAAGTGGTTGCTATCGATAATTTTACAACTGCTACAGGCAATGACCCCTATACCTAACTGAAATATAATTTGTGCAAAACTAGGATGTTGCTTTTCCTTCTTTTCCTCATTAGAGAGATTATATTTGGAGAATTTAAAATCCCAATCTTTTTGAAACTATTTTATTTTTCAAAATTTCCAAACTAATAGAGCCTTAATTTTTCTAACTTTAGTACGTCGCAAGCATTGTTTTGAGACTCGTCCAAGTCTCTGCATATCGGCCAAGTTATAATGGACTTGGCCGAGCCGGAGTCAGATACGCACTGATATATCAGTGGGAATCGGGAAATTTTAATCCACCAGCCTTGTTCGAGTCCCTAGTGACTTGGCCGAGTCTATTCCTACTAGGCAGAGCCAGCATTCGAAAGTGCAAGGTCGAGAAAATTTCATCACTGCAGTTTCTGATACCATTACGTTACACCTGTTGCACTCTGCGTCCATTACACCAGACTGCATCCACAACTTAAGATTATGGTTGTAAGGGAGTTGTGAACAGATTGCTCTCTCATTTTTCTCTCATCAAGCTTTTACAGTTCTTTGGTACCTTTGGTTTACGGTAAGCTCCTAATTCTGTTGCAAATTCCTTGGCAATCTGATGTTGATGGGGCAAGAGGTTTATTTGAGGCAACAAAGGGTAAAGTTAATAATATTCTAAAGGCAGATTTTTTCTTGCTTTTCTGACACTAGACAAAGGTCAGCATTCTGGACTTCATATATTTGTAAAAATTTTGGATATAAGAACTGAACTTTGGTAGGATAAGGTGATCCTAGCAATATAGTTTTGCTTCTAGAAAAAATTTATGGAATGTGAATATCATATTGTACCATCATAGAAATGATTAACTTGCTGATGTTTCTGAAAATCTCTCTCACTCTCACTCACACTCTCAGAGGTGTACAATGGAAATGTCACCTCTTTGAAGTTGAATAACGAGTCCCTGTCATAACAATTTTGCAAAGTAAATTGTGAGGGAATCTTTTGATTTGATCTCTTTATCTTTCCTCCTTGGCTGTCCATATCTTTTTCCCCTCCCTCCCACCCAAATGGCGAAAAGAGAGTGTCTTCTTAATTATTCATAGATAAATATTAATGAACAGATTACTTATCAAAAAAAAAAAAAAATTATTAATGAACCGATCAGTAATTGAAACTTTACCTATAGTTTCAGCAGAGGAAACATCTCACAGTCAAGACCATAATGTCCATGGCTACTCTAGCATCAAGTTTGTATAGTGAGGCAACTAGAAAGAAAATTGAACAAATTTATCAGTAAGAAAATGAAGAACATGTATATCAAGCTCTCACATGATATAATATAGATTTTTGTAATTAGTTATAGGAGTTACATCTCAAGATGTTCTACTTGAACTAGTACCCATATGCCAATTGACTAATACTAGATATGATCTAGTGTGTCTCAGGATGATAAACTGCATGTCAGACCAAGTTTCAGAGCTGAAAATGATCTTGTCTTCCTCATCCAACTCGAGTTTAACTTCAGGACTTGTTGCTAGAGATGATCGGGTTGATGCGTTGTCCACTTCTTCTGATAGTACATCCACTGATTCCGATTTTACATTTCCAGCTCCCACTTCGACTCCAGCAAACTTCTCTTCCTTCAATCCCAATGCTTTCCAGCTGATAGTTCAGGATCTTTCAGCAGCTGAAATCTCAGGTCAGTCTAGTTTTCTTAGTGTCTCCTGTCTGCACTTAAACTCTGTTGCTAGTTGATACTGAGAACATGATCCATCAGCTTGTTGTCTACTTGACATCAAAGCTAATTCAAGCGTGAATGTAATTTATTCATCAAAGGATTCTCACTATCTGGCATGAGACTCTTTCTGTTTCAGACCATCCATTCCATTTTAGTGTAGTTCTCTCCCATCACTCCTTAGCTAGTGTTAGTAATGTTCCTAAGTTATATGCCAGTTTTGTTTAAGTAGGATGCGTTGAAAGTAACTGTATTATATATATTTTTTCTCTTGATGGTTGCATTGTGCAGGATCCGAAAACTGGGAAAGTGAGCGGGAGGGGGCATTCGATGACTTCTTCTGATGGAATTTGCTCATTTTAGCCTCTTGTATTTGTTTTTCCACTAGGTAGATATTAGTTTAATGTGGCATTTTGGCATTATATATAGTGGGTACCTCAACTCAAATTGATTATTATTTTTGATTCATACAAAATTGAGAGGTATAATACTGGGACAGTTATATAGTTCCCTGGTGTCAATTACGAATTACTTTTCCTTCTTATCTAACAAATCATTTGAGTTTTCAAGTTTACTGGACTTCTTGAGTTGATGCACACTTTGTTTGGAGCCCTTACAATATGATTTTGGAGACAATGTTTCAGTTGTTTTTTTATTTTTTTATTTTTTCCCTTTGTTGATTTCTTCATTAAGCGAATTTCTATTGTATGTGGTCTTCTCTCATATTCTTTACAAAATATTTGGGACTTTGTGCCTATTCAATTTGGCTGTTAACAATGGTGATAATATCTTTTATTGGGAAAGTAACATCTTACATATGGTTATGGGAGAATCTTGAGAAAGTGTTTTTGTTTTTGGCAAATCTTTTATAGGGAGAAATAAAAATGTTAAAAGTTTGGCAATGGATGAGCTCAAGAATGAAACCTGTTTAGGATTCTTATGATGAGTTCAAACAATCCCTTTTTGTTGTAATTTTTCTTTGTAGCATCCTTATGTGCCATCCACCAAAAATATTGCACCTTATAATTACATCCCTTCCTCACCATCAGTGTTGACTTGTCTATATTGATTAATCTTCATTCTGTTGTTGAGTTTGGAATAAGATTT